AACCAGCTGATTAGCTGTTTGTTGGCTCGCGCGCTAGTCTGGATGCGCCCCCTGCCGACATCAAAGCCCTTTGTTGGCAGCCCCGGTAACCCTCATCCCAGGAGGAATAACGGGCCTGCCGACAAAGGACTTTGATGTCGGCAGGGGAGCGTCCAGACTAGCGCACAGAGCGGACAAACAGCTGATCAGCTGTTTGTCGGCTCAGCGCGGCAGCCATGTAAATGTAAATGAAGCCGTGATCATTTAAATTGCAGCTTCATTTGCCTTTGCCAAAACAACAAATCTACATGGCTCCTTCGATGGAGCCATGTAGTCTAGACATACTCTCAGTGACGGATGTTTAGTAATGAATAGACTGTGAGATCTTTGGAGCAGGGAATGTCTTTTTACTGCACATATGTACAGGGCCTAGCACAGACCGATGCTTCTCTCTGCAACAACAGTGCCAATAATAATGAATATGCCATTCACAGATATTTTAGCAACAGAAAAAGAGCGGAAATGCGTTGGGTACATTATTTGTGGTATCTAATCAAATATTCACCCTTGGAGTGGAAAAATGAACTAGTTGCTCAAGTGACAATGGAAAAAACCATCAGTCTGCACCATACAGGCAACCCAGATGATTTTACAAGTGCTGGGAATGTGTACAAGATACAATCTATCCCTAAGGGCTCAACCCACACTGTCCGCTGAGAAACATAAATTAAATTCCTAGGCCTGGATGGTATTTACCCTACCCCACCACACCATCCGATCCTTCTTTCCCCACCTTTTTATTCTACTCCTTCGCCGCCTTCTCTGTTACTCCCCTCTCCCACATCTTTCTATTCTCAGCAAATGCTCTCCCTAGTAAACTGGTTCCCATCTTCCATCCACTGCAGGATGTCTTGAAAACAACAGCCAGATTCAGACAATTGTTTGCTATTCTTCAGGGACTGGCCAGTTCCAGTGCCACCCTCGCTGTAATGCCAAGTATGTGAACTGGCAGAAGCATCAGTGCCCTCCAATTAGACCATAATTGTTGCTCTTCCAAAGACATGGACTTTCTGAGGAATTATGCTGGATAGTTTGCAAAGGAGATGTCACTGGATTTCTTCTAAAGGGCTAGAAAACACAGGCTAGGAGGGAAGACTAAAAGAACTGGGCTTGTTTAGTTTGGAAAAGAAAAGGACGGAGAGGGGACATAGAATCATAGAACACTAGAATTGGAAGGGACCTCGAGAGGTGATTGAGTCTAGTCCCCTGCCCTCATAGCAGGATCTGATATCAGCTTTCAAGTACCTGAAAGGGTGTTATAACGAGGAGGGAGAAAAACTTTTCCCCTTGGCCTCTGAGGACAGGACAAGAAGCAAAGGGCTTAAATTGTAGCAAGGGACGTTTAGGTTGGATAATAGGAAAAACTTCCTACCTGTCAGGGTGGTTAAACACTGGAATCAGTTACCTAGGGAGGTTGTGGAATCACCATCACTGGAGATATTTAAGAGCAGGTTGGATAGACACCTGTCAGGGATGAGCTAGATGATGTTTGGTCCTGCTGTGAGGGCAGGGGACTTGACCTCTCGAGGTCCCTTTGGGTATGTCTACACAGCAAGCCATTATTTTGAAATAATGGCAAGCTGGAGGACTTCGTATGCCAACTCCTGTACCCCTCATTCCACAAGGAGGGAAGTCAGAGGAAGAGTGCTCTTCCTTGGACTTGCTGTTGTGTCGACAGCGCCAAAAGCAGAATTTAAGCTAAATTCGACTTTCACTACGCAATTGACGCAGCTGAAGTTGTGTAGCTTAATTCGACTTTTGCCCTGCTGTGTAGATGTGCCCCCCCCATTCTAGAAATCGAGGATTCTACAATTCACTGCTTGCGTCGCATAGCAAAGGCTTGTGCAGAGAGCAGAACCATGCACTGGGCGCTGTTAATATGAGAAGCGTGTAGATCATTTCTGCCCTTAAGGAGTTCCGCATTTCATGGCCCTCCATCTAGAATGGTCTTCTCCCTGCCCTTGAAGGGTTTACACTAGGTCCCAATAACCAGCATGACCTGATTTGTGATGGTTATAATCCTGGATCAGTGCAGAGAGAAACATGATCCCACCAGTAGCCAAATCTAAGAACAAGGTATTATTAATGTTTATTATTTTAATGCCACATTGTAATACTGTAATATCTAGGTCTTGTAGCACTTTTCAACAGTATAATCAATATTAACAGTAAAACAATAATTAGTACTTCTCGTGCAGGGCAAATTTCTATAATTGACCCTTACACCACTCCTGTGAAATAGGTGGACAAATTAATCCCGTTTGTGGATGATATAGTTATTTGTTACTCTGTAAAGCTTCCATTTTTCCTTTGTTCCGCCTGTGTAGTGTTCTTCTTGTACAAGATTCATAAATTTCATTCACACAGTTCTCCGTTCTGTGATCAGACTATTTTGGGGTTTGTTCTGCCCTCTTCTCTTATTGGTTTTTCAGGCTCTCTTCTGAGCAGCATGTGAACCAATCACATTCAAATGCCCGTGGAACTTTGCAATTTTTTGTTTTTTTTAGCCTATAAGCATGGAGGTGTTGCCGTCTATTCAGGGCTAGGTTTTTGATTTGGAAAGGCTGCAATGCCATGGAGATTTGGGCTAGGAAAGTTCTGCTTTGATCCCGTTGCCTGAGAGAGGAAGTTGTTGCCGTGTAACACTATTTTATTTCTTAGAATCCAGAACCCATATATACCCAAGAACACAAAAAGAGAGAGAGAAAGCAGGTTGCCCCATAAGG